TGCTTTAACTAAGCAGATCTTTGTTGCCAGTGTGATGTCTCTACTCTTAATTATTTAAGGCTTACATCACTTATAAAGAACCGTGTTCACACTCATAAGAAGCAGAAGTTTAAGATTTATAGATTTACAGTGGAGTACTGTAAAAGCAATGGATGTGGTAGAATATTTGGTTGTTATGAGCTGTAAAATACTCTGAGTAAGACGCTACGGTAAGGACAGAATGTGGAGAAACGAAAAGGTTTTCCAAATGGCCGTGGGGGGTCACACAATACTGCATTTATTAAATTTATTTTCAGAACATAAAGGAAGCTGGATTAGACCCAGGAGATGGAAGAGTGAAAACTAGAGGAAGAAACATGAACAATTTTGAGATAAACAGATCATACCATATTAATATCAGAAAATAGCAAACACTCAAAACGATTTTGAGGAAAGTTAAAGAAGAAAGTGCTAAATCAGGATTAGAGTTGAACATTAACATAACACATAGATGATTTATATAACTTTAAAATGGATGACAAAGACAGTCATAAATCCAAATGGAAACTAGTCAAGATATCAGAGTAAGTCTGGGATGGGAAGCTATGAAAGAACTAGATAAGATTCTCTGATATAAAGACATATCATTTAATAGCAAAGCTAGGATCATCCATATTATAATATTTCTGATTTCTATTGGTTGTGAAAGCTGGACAGTGAACAAAGCTGACGTTTTAACTATTTTCTATTTATATGTATCACATATGTTTTCTCTTCCAGATGTTTTATTTGTTTCAACATAGTTTTAAACTATGTTTTCTTTATATGTACCATGTTTTTGACATGCTGAGGGTATGTGTTGTCAAAGGCTTTCATGGCTGGAATCACTGGGTTGCTGTGAGTTTTCCAGGCTGTATTGCCATGTTCCAGAAGCACTCTCTCCTGACATTTTGCTCACATCTATCGCAGGCATGCTCAGAGGTTGTGAGGTATACTGGAAACTAAGCAAGGGAGATCCTTTTTGCACTGTCTGCCAGGGCTTTAATGCTGAGGGTATGTTGTAAATATGTCAATTTGTTTTGTTTGTATACTAAAATATATTGATTGATTGATTGACAGGAAGAATATAATAAAACTGTATAATAAAACTTTATTTATATTCCACCCCATCTCCCCAAGGAGACTCGGGCGGATTACTAAAAAAACACAGAGGCAAACATTCAATGCCTTACCACAAAAGCAGACAGGATACAATTAACACCCTCCCCCTCCCCCCCAATCCCAACACCAATCGACATCACACAACCAGTTATAAATAAAACCTAAAATTGCACGAACAGTTACATAATAAAGTTATATCTAACCATAAAAACATCTCAATTAATTTGAAATATGGTGCTGATGGAGGTGTCCTTCAGATACCATGGACTTGCAAAAGTACAGCTAAATTGGGTCCTAAAGCAAATCAAACCTGAACTCTCCCTAGAAAGAAAAATCACTGAATTAAGGCTATCATACTTTGGATATGTCATATGAATGATTTATTAGAAAAACCGATAAAGTGAAAAGAAATGGGAAAAAGAGGAAGGCCACATTACAGATAGACTCAATCAAGGAAGCAATTGCTCTGAATTTGAAAAAAAAATCATCCAGAAAGTTTTCATAAGTCGGGTATGGGCAACTATTGAATGGAAGAGGGCTATGTTATGAGACATTAGGAGATCATAGATTCTGTCACATCTGTAACTTCAAAAATAAAATAAAATAAATATTTTTTTGCACCTCACCCCTCCCACTAGATTTAATGTTTTCATTGATCTTAAAAAAAAATATTTGATTGCTTTGGGGGGTGGGGGAGGTGTCAAGGATTCAAAGATAGTGAGACTGCAGTCAACATCCCCAGATGGTTTAGTGGGGGCATTTTGAAACAAAATATGATTTTGTTTTCCCATTTTGTTTTGCCACTGGGAGCCACAAAAATAGACTTTGTGAGCATCATTTCACCCATCCCTACCATAATTAAATGCTGACATGATGGCAAATAACAGCGAACTACATGGATAATGGCAAGGAGCATCATCCTACTGCATGCATCTATCGTAAAATGCATTTTTTATGTAGTCCAGTCTAAAGAGGCTATTTCTTTCTCTTTTTCTCTGCTATCAGTATAGTATGGTTTAGATTCCCTGACATTAAGTCCAGTCGTGTCCAACTCTGGGGGTTGGTGCTCATCTCCATTTCTAAGCTGAAGATCTGGCGTTGTCCATAGACATCTCCAAGGTCATGACTGCATGGAGCGCTGCTACCTTCCCGCCTGAGTGGTACCTATTGATCTACTCACATTTGCGTGTTCAAACTGCTAGGTTGGCAGAAGCTGGGGCTAACAACGGGAGCTCATGCTGCACCACGGATTCGAACCTGCAATCTTTCAGTCAGCAAGTTCAGCAGCTCAGCATTTTAATCCACTGCATCACTGGGGGCTCCATAAGATATAGCTGTTGGAAGCTATGGGCAAAGGCACTGAACATAATCCAACCAGATTGTTGATATTTTTCAACCAAAATGTTACTAGACCTAGAATCTGGCAACTTTTCAAAGTATCTGCTGATCTTGCTTGTCTACTAATCAGATATGAACTTTCACTGTGTTCTTTTTATATATGCGCCTGCCTTCAAGCATGTCTAAGCATGATTAAGCATGATTAAGCTCTATTATGGGAATTAATTGCACCTGGCTTGGTTTTGGATTTTTAAAAATAATTTCCATAGCCTCTTCATGTTGTTTGTGTACTATCTCTATTTATAGTTCAGTGGGCATTATGCCCAGACAAAAGTGAAAAATACTATTTTATTTTTTACATAGAACTGTCCATTTAATTCTTTGAAGGAACTATTCATTTACCCAATGCACTATCACTTCCCTCTGAAATGCCTTCAGGTCATTTCAGATTTATGGTAACCCTAAGGCAAAGTTATCCCAGAGTTTTCTTGGCCACGTTTATTATCCGAGGCTGAATGGGAATTGAATCCCAATCTATTGTTCTTTCCCAGCACTCTAACCATGACACCATGCTGTCTCCCCAATCACTTGTACATTCACTCTTTTTTAAAAAAACCAAAAAACCCCAATTTTGGAGTCTGAAATTGGTAAAATTTGTCTATCTGGCATGGTGTAGTAATTTCAATATTGTACTAGATGTCTGGTTTGAATCCCACCTCAGCCATGGAAATCCATCAGACACATTCTCTCAGCCTCAAAAGAAGACAAAAGCAACCCCTCTCTGAGTATATCTTGTCAAGAATGATAGAATCATAGAGATGGACGACACCTCATGGGCCATCCAGTCCAACCCCATGCCAAGAAGCAGGAAAATCTCATTCAAAGTACTCCAGACAGATGGCCATCCAGCCTCTGTTTAAAAGCCTCCAAAGAAGGAGACTCCACCACACTCTGGGCAGAGAGTTCCACTGCTGAACAGCTCTCACAATTAGGAAGTTCTTCCAAGAAAACCCATGATAGTTTTGCCTGTCAAAACTGAATGTAAAGAATGTCTTCTCAAAAGAAAGGATGCATTTCATTGTTTTGGCATAGAATATATTACCGACTAATTCTATATTTGAGCTAACTGATGTGGGAGAGTAGCATTATTTTCTTTTAGAGTGCTGTGGACTGGTACCATATCTATGTCCATTGGCCACAACTGTTTCTTTCTGGGAAGTTTATGTATGGACTTGCACCAATCTACAGACCACCACTTTGATTAGTGCCATTGTAAATAATGTCCACATTGAACCTAAGAGCACAGTGAAGTCAGGAGCTATATCTCCCTTTGAATGGACCCTTGAGTTTTGAAAGTGCTTTGGCATTGAAAGGACAATGATTATCTTTAGACAGCCTTCCTCATTCTTATTCAAAATATTGGGATGATAGTGGTTGGAAAAGCTCCTTTAAGACAAGAGATCTAAACTAAAGACAAGTAGTTTGGACAATTTGGACAATTGTGTGTAAATATAAAGAACATGTTTATCTTCCAAAGTTCTGTTATCATAAAAGAGAGGAAAGGTCTGAATCTGTAAGCAACTCAACCTTGTTTCCTCTTCCCCTTTCCATAATGTTGTTGAAAAGTTTGGGTTTTGTTGCTAGTTTTACTAAAGGACCCATACTGATCTTTGAAACTGCATTCCGGGGGAAAATTGAGTAAACAGCTCAGCTAATCTATGGATTTATTTCAGACTGTACCTTGGGATTGCTTCATTCAAAATCATTATGGGTTCTTAAATTTTACCATCAGTTTACAGGGAAGGAGAAAGTTACAGTAACTAAAGCATCAATTTACACCAGTCAAACTTGGGCTTCAGCTCCCATAATTCCTAACAGTCTCAGGCCTCTTCCTTCCTAATAACCCCAGGAAAGGACATGAGGCTGTTAGGAGTTGTGGGAGTTGAAATCCCAAACATCTGGAGGTCCTAAGTTTCCCCATGCCTGATCTACACTGTAGAATTAATGCAGTGCTGTGGTTGAATGCCATAGAATCATGGGAACTGAAGATTTACAAAAACCTTTTCCTTATTTTTCAAACAAGTGCCTCAAAAAACTACAACTCCCATGATTTCATAGCATTGACCCGTAGCAGTTGAAGTGGTGTCAAACTGGATTAATTTTGCATTGTCGATGCACCCTCAATGTGCTCTTAGGAACATGAGAAATACATAAACCCGAAGATGCCTTATGCCTGAGGACAGTCATAGAAATTGCCTTGTAGTAATGAATCAGTAAGTAATAATTTAGGAAAGTATCGGGTTTGAAAATATACCAGATGTCTTAAAATCGTCATCTTATGCAAATGAGTATGCACACGATGTATCGCCAGGGCTCATAATTATTTTTTGATGGTCAGAATTAAAATTTGTTAAATTATCACTTTACTGGGACACAGATTGTGTTAGTAGTATTTCTTCCTGGAAGGTGATTGCCCCTGTCTTTTATAAGTGTAATTATCTTAAATTGTCTATCTTTTTCAGATGAAAGAAGTCGAAGAACGTATAGAAGAAATGTTAATAAAACTAGATGAATTCTGTAACATCACTGATATGGTAAGGGCTCAACTCCTGCAAGCTTTGGAGAATGCAGTTGTGTTCTATGTGTTTGGCTCTGAGGACGCCATCTTGAGAGTGATTTGGAAACCAAGCGGATCAGGCGAGGCGGCAGCCAGCTGCTGTAAGAAGTAGACTCTCTCAGTCTCTCTCTCTCACACACAGCCACACACACAGCCACACACACTCCTCCAAGTGGCAGCCATCTTGATAGCAACTTTTCCTGAAATGGTTTTTATTGCAGAGAATAGCAATGGTTGAGCCACAAGGTGGCACTATGGTGCACTATTAACTAAGGACCTAGACCAGTGCTGTCTAGTTGCAAATATCATGTGCTCCATACAGACACACACACACACACACACCGTTGAGCATGGATAGCCTTATGGTTTTCTAGCTGTTCAAGTTTAAGCAATCCAAAGCATGCTACTATATCCCAGTTGGACATGTTCTCCCGGTTTTCCTTGAGAAGTTTAAAGACATTCAGTCCATATCTGCCTGAAGGTTGTTTTGGGAAGATCAATATTGATTTTTCAGTTTTTATTTAAGGGAGCCATAAGCATGTTCTTAGAAGGTTCCATGCTTTCATGTCATGGCGAATGGTTTCTTTCTCTTTGATGGCTTAAGAACAGGAATGAGCAAACTTTGGTCCTCCAGGTGTTTTGGACTTCAACTCCCACGATTCAAGAATTGTGAGAGTTGAAGTTCAAAACACCTGGAAGTCCAAAGTTGGCTCATGACTGCTTAAGAACCATAATAGAGTTTTGATATTGTTTTAGTATTCAAGGTACTACAGGTGGAAGTACAGTAGAGTCTCTCTTATCCAGTCTTCGCTCATCCAATGCTCTGTATTATCCAAGGCAGTCAGCCTCCCAACCAGAATAATGTCCAGAGTGGGAGAAAGGAAGAACTCTTCCCCGTTTTGGTGCTATATTAGTAAATTCAGTAATTACTACATAACATTACTGTGTATTTATTTATTTATCATGTCAGTTTCAACCAGACAATTGCATTACATTTTTAACAAATTTTTAACAAACAGACAAAACAGAGTTTGCAAGCTTGGTAGTTGATTAAATGTCCTTTGACCAGTATCTGGCCACTTGGAGTGCCTCTGGTGTTGCCGCAAGGAGGTCCTCCATTGTGCATGTGGGAGGGCTCAGGTTGCATTGCAGCAGGTGGTCAGTGATTTGCTCTTCTTCACACTCGCATGTTGTGGATTCCACTTTGTAGCCCCATTTCTTGAGGTTGGCTCTGCATCTGTGGTGCCAGGAGGGGAGTCTCTCATTGGTATCAGCCATTGATTGAGGTTCTGAGTTTGAGCCTGCCACTTTTGGACTCTCGCTTGCTGAGGTGTTCCAGCGAGTGTCTCTGTAGATCTTAGAAAACTATTTCTTGATTTAACTCGTTGACGTGCTGGCTGATACCCAAACAAGGGATAGGCTGGAGATGTCACTGCCTTGGTCCTTTCACTATTGGCTGCTAATTACTGTGTATTGAACTGGCTTTTCTGTCCATTTGTTGTAAAACATGATGTTTTGGTGCTTAATTTGTAAAATCATAACATAATTTGCTATTTAATAGGCTTTTCCTTAATCCTTCCTTATTATCCAACATTTTTGCTTATCCAGCATTCTGCCGGCCTGTTTATGTTGGATAAGCAAGACTCTACTGTAGTTTGCTATTGTTTGGAATAAAGTGATAATGTTTTGATCACTTCCATTTGTCACAATTTAAAATGTTTAGTACAGGTGGAATATTGCATGCTGTTCATCCCAACGATTGTTTATCTGGAGAATTAACGCCAGCAAAATATTTAAGGCAGTGGGTCATCCATTGATGTGGAAGAAGGCGCCACTGGAATAAGTAGGTCATAGATCAAAGCTGGATTGCTTTTCTTTGTAGAATTTAGGAAGCAAAGTAACTCAAGAATGTCCTGGATTCTTGAATCTGGAATATGGTTCTAGGGAGATATCTGTTCAAGCCATTGGCCCCCGTTTTGAGCCCTAATCTCTTTAATACTTATCTGAAGCAGCTACAGGATGTCATCTAGACCAAGCATCCTCAAACTCCAGCTGTTTAGGCTTTCAAATCCTCGAATTCCTGACTATTGAACAAGCTGGTGATGACTTCTGGGAGTTGGAGGCCCAAAAAACTGGAGGGCCAAAGTGTGAGGATGTCTGATCTAGACATTTTGGCTACATTACCACTAGTATGCAGACAATGCACAGCTGCAGCTTCTTTTACCCTATGGATCCTGGGGAGGTTGTGGAAATCCTAAACAGAAACTTGGAGGCAATTTTAGCATGTAGAACAGACATAGGCAAACTTGGTCCCTCCAGGTGTTTTGGACTTCAACTCCCACAATTCCTAACAGTCGGTAGGCTGTTAAGAATTGTGGGAGTTGAAGTCTAAAACATCTGGAGGGACCAAGTTTGTCCATGTCTGATGTAGAGGATAAATTTGAAAGACAAATCTACTGTGCTTGGAGCACTGACTGATCTGAATGAAGATGTGAAATCAAGCCTGACGGGGGTCTCATTTCCCTCTGTCAAGTTTGACTTCACATTTTAATTCATAGCCTAGGAGTGCTCCTATACTTGTGGTTAATGATAAAGGTGATACAAGATGTCTTGTATGGGAGAGAAATTCATGACTTAAATTTCCTAGAATCTTTTCTCAGCAGTCAGTGGAAACTCTTCCCACTTGTTGTTAACCTTGGTTGCAGTTGTAAGAACAATTAAAGTTTGTCTGATTCTGTTATAGGAAAAATAACCTTTGTGTTTGTTGCCATATTTGTTTCACATAAGCACCTATGATAGTATGATTCTAAAACTGGCTTCATTTGCTGTTCTGTGGCCAAAACAACAAAACAAAACCCCACATAGTTGTACATCTTGTACCAAGTATTCATTTCTCCATTAAGAGAAAAATTGATGCTTTGACCTTGCAATGGTGTAGGGTTAGCTTTCTTTGTTCCTCTTTTGATACATATCTTGAATGTTTTGTCTACAAGCGTGCTGCATTTGTTTTAAATCTCTTCATGATGTTTTCACCACTTTTTAAAAACAGTTTTCAATATTAAGAAGCAACTTAATGATAAATTGGCAACTCAGAGGCAGTTTGTAACCCTATAAAATCACATATTAAAACATAAAATGCAACCATATAAGCATATAGTAAAATGTAAACATATTTAAATACCTGGGATATAAGTTAAAACACAATAAACACAGACTGTGGTTTAACAGTAATAGGTTAAAGTGACTCTGTAGACCTGCCAGAAGAGATAGATCTTTAGAAATGTTTTAAATTCTGACAGAAGATTTAGCTGTCGAAGCTCTTCCAGAAGGTCATTCTACAGTCTTGGGGTGACTGATGAAAAGGTCCTCTTGGTGGTGGTTGCCACCAAGACAGGCTGGAGCAGCTGCCTCCTAGACTATTTCAGTGTTTGGGGTGGATTGTACAGGAAAAGGCAATCCTGTAGGTAACCTGGACCCAAACCATGTAGGGCTTTAAAGGTCAAAACCAACACCTTGTGCTTTGCCCAGAAACTAACTGGCAGCCAGTGGAATGACTTTAATATAGGTGTAATATGTTCACTCTGGGATGTTCCTGTAACTAATCTGGCTGCTGTATTTTGAACCAAATTGAATTTTTGAATTTGGTACAAAAGAAGCCCAGTGTAAAGCGTGTTGCAGAAGTTCAACCTTGAGGTTACTAGTGTGTGCACTGCCATCTTCTGGTTCTCCAAATCCAAGAAGGGGCACAGATGCTGTATCAGCCAAAGCCAGTAGTAAGTACTCCTGACTATTGCATCTACCTGGGCTGACATTTGGAGAGATGGATCCAGGAGCCCATGTCTCAAGCTGTGAACAGAGTCTACGAGGGGGAATGTAACCTCATCCAGAACTGGTTGACACACTTCCATCCCCAGATTAGGACTTTTAATGCCAAGCACCTCTAACTCATCTGGATTCAGTTTCAGTTTGTTTTTCCTCATCCAGCCCACAAACACATTCTGATATAACATTTGCTTTTGCAGTGAATAGTGAATTATAGTCTATGCCATAAGTTGGTTAGTCTTTAAGATCCTGCAAGACTCTGTATTTAATTTAGAGACATGCAAAACGGGGGTAGTGAAGTTAATGGTGGAGCTGGCAGTACACAAGATGTCAGCTTTCTTGAATTCAGAGTTAGCTAGTGTAGTGTGCAGAATTTTTTTACTTTATGGAGTTTTGAAAGGAGATTATCTAAATGATATGGAAAACCAGCTGGAGATGTTGTGATCTAAAGATAAGATGGGAGCATGTATATTGTTGTTTTGATGTGTGGCCATACATTTGTGCAATTTCTGTGATTTTCCTAATAATTGGACATGGGAATTCATTAAGGATCATCTGATACTGTTGCATTTTTAGTACAACTGCATTTGGACTGATCTGTAGTTAAATGTCTAAACACTGAGAAATGCACAAACCCTAAATTTTCAAACGAAAGGTTTATGGTACTTCTCTAAGTAAAAAAAACCCAAACATTTCTTGCATTTATAAATATTATTTTCTGATATTTATTGATGACTTTCTAATACTTTTTTTTCTAATTTATGTAGATTAGAACTGATACATCCCAACTTCTGGATGAAGTGGCTCCACTTATTAAAGCCAAAATGATAGAAATGAACAACATTTACACTCAAGTGGATAAACTAGAGGTTAGTTACTTACAGCAAAATAATGTTTGTTGAAAAGAGTATACATTTGAAAATGCCTCTCTTGTGTCTGTGGGGATATACAAATTAGCCTTCTACATATATGTTGCTGCCTCGATTTTTTAAGAAAATGTTCTTAATCTTTCTGCAGGGTTGTTACACAGGAATTTAAAATATTTCTTACATTGGAAAACATTGATTAAAATTATGCTGGTACAATAATTAGTATTTTGTATCCCACTTGGTCCTCAATATTGTTTTAGGCAATCTTTTCAAAAAAGTTTCATGACTATAGAAAGGTCAGAAAGATAAATCTTATGTAAAACACTGAACTGCAAAAAAGGGGGGCTAGGTGAGGAAGTAGATCAGCAAATCAGGCAGACTGAAAAACAAACAGATATGAGTGACTGCCATTTTCATAGCTTTGGAGCTGTTGATGGTGAGCATGCTGGGTCAGACATATTAAAATGAGGCCTGTTGAGTTGCCATAGAATCATAGAGTTGGAAGAGACCACATGGACCATCTAGTCCACCCCCCTGCCATGTAGGAAAAGCACAATCAAAGCATCCCATGGAATGCTAACAACCATTCTGATTGTTTGCACTGAAAAATACATGAAAAGCTTAAGAATGCATATGACTAGGTGCTGTTGGAAACAGGTTTGGTAGCCGGGCTTGAAAAGAGGACCCCAATTTCCTTGAGTCCAGCATACTGGAAACATGCCAATGTCCGATACGTTGCATATATATATACATATTTATATTTATATTTATATATATATATATCTTTCTCGGCAGTAGTATTTTTTGATTGGTTTTGGGCATTTATTGTAAAACAGGTGGATTTAAAATAAAATCATAGTTAGGTGCAAAACTTGAAATTCCATAAACAATTTAGCTTGTCAAGCAGAGGTTCTAGCCTGCCGCCAGAGAGCTCCTTGCGTGCTTGGCCAAAATCCTCTATTTCTGAGGTGCTTACCCAACTAACTTTGATTCTGGGAGACTACACCCATCATGCAGATCTGTTGCTGAGGAACGGCTGAGAAACTTGCCTGAAAAGAATTTGCCCCAGGACATGAGCTAACCCTTAGCAGCCCCATTGGCAGAAAAGGAAACTGGCAACAGTAATAAAATATTGGTCAGTTGCTTGCTTCTGAATGCTCATGTTATGTGTATGATTGTACCACTGTACATGAATGGTTCCGAAGAGGCATGTTGCAGAGTTAGAAAACCACTTCAGTAATTTTAGTGGCAATGCCTTATTTATTAAAAGTAATCTTGTGCTTTTCTTCAGTGTGCTTTAATAGTTGTGCTGCCAAGCAATGTATTTTCAACATCACTCTTAATTCTAATTTGTTTTAAATTCTTTTGGGGATCAGGTACTTTTTAGATGGAAAAGTAATCATGTAGTCATACCCATTTGCAGAGGCGGCCCTAGGTAATTTTCAATGGTAAGCAAACAGTATGGGTTGAGCCGCCCCTGCCCATTTGCAGATCTGCAAAGCTGACTGAAGGAAATCTGCATCCATTCAACTATTGTGGCTGTGCCATTTAACTCCACTTGGAAATAAATTCCCAGAGAGGAGGGGGAGGTGGGACTATTGACACTAGACCATGGGAAATCAGTGTGCCACTAATGGTGGCTGTACATCACTGGCCCCTTCACTTTTATTTGAACTAACTGCAGTCAGAAGAGGCTTGGGCGCTGTTCACTTTGCACATTCCATGCATTGATTCAACATGTCCATCACCCATGAAAAACCGCTATGTTTACTGAAGCAAGCAAAATTTCAGAAGAGGCTAGAAGATTAATATTAACAATTTTTGTGCAACTCATTCTGAATCCCACACCTAACCCGATGAAAACCTGTCCCTCCCCCCCATGATTTGTAACTTGTTATCTATTTTATTAGGGGTTTCTCCCTTCAAAAGCATCTATCAACAGTGATGAGTAATATTAATAAGAAAAGTAATAATGTTATCAATGATTAGATTATTGTATTTTCCAAATGGCATGCTCATATACTTTTGCTACGCCCAAAACTGTAGTACTTAGCCAATGCTGCACACTACACTTGGACATGTTTTGTAGTTATTACAAAAATTGGTCATGCTGACATACTGTTGGAAATAGCAACCTTCCAAGCCTCCACTGGCTATTTGTTAATGTATATATCTGTTAAACTGCATTCTATGTGTATGTTGATTTGCCAGTTTGGCTGCTTTGGTGTGGGACCATTTATAGATGTGATTGTACTGAGTATGTGCAGACTCAGGATTCCATTTTGTGTTCAGTTTCCACCAGACCTCTATGGAGGTGGATGCATGTTTGCTTTTGGACTTCAGTTTTATAAGTTTGCTTACCACTTCATTGGAGGTGGATGTTTGTACTTATGGACTTGAGTGAGTACAGATATACTTATGTGCCTGTATACTGAATATATACAAGAAGTTTGTTAATAAATCTCATACGTTATTTTCAAAGAAGACTACTTTGTTTTTGGCTCTTGAGTGCATGTTTTAAATAAGAGTTTTTAAGGGAGTGTATTTTTTTTTGGCAACAGCAAATTACATCTACAAATTCTACTTCAAAGAAACAACCATCCTCTGCTAACCAGATATATTTTTGTAGTGGTCTGTCTTTGTCTTTGCCATTTAAAGACAAGGTTCTTCAGTTTAACAGCTGAGCTACCTGTGTGCTATTACATTAATACTTTATGAATATCACTTGTCTTAAGGGTTGACTTCTAGCAAGGTCATACTTTTCTTTTGACTAGTGGTTTTCAGGTGACCTCTATGTTCATGGAAATTCACATTTGCCAAATGAAGGTGACATTGTTTTTACCTTTTCAATAAGGTTATGGTGTACTGGAATTTCCAATAAATTATGGAATTTCCAATACTGGGAATTCTTGCCTAAAAAGCTTTTTTCTCAAACTTTTAAGCTCTAAGGTGGACAGCCTCAAATTTAGGTTGATCTATGGCTCAGTTACCTTTATTTCTTTCCCAATATTTGTAGGCCTTTGTAAAAATGGTGGCATGCCATGTTTCCTTCCTAGAAGAGGAAGTGGTTGAAGCAGAGAAGACTCGTTCTATCTTCCCCTGCACAGTCCAGAAGCTGCTAGGTATCCCTTCATTTAAAAAAGTAAGTGTGAATAGTCTTACTTTTTGCAACACGTGATGGGGTAAACATGTTGCAAAATGTTATGTTCCATGTTACCAAGTTATTCTGTTCTATGTTACCAAGTTTACTACCAATCAATTGCTGTAAAATAATAAAGGCATGGGGTTTTTTTCAGCATAGTTGTTGAGGTTTTACATTTGGTTGATCTCAAATATAATTCACCACCTGCATATCCCATCTACCTTAATCAGAAATGTATTAAAATGGCAATTTTATTACGCATATTACTTTTAGAGATCATAGAATAACAGAGTTGGAAGGGGCTGCAAAGGACATTAGTCTAATCCCTTGAAATTATACACAGCTAAAGCACTTCTAGGGAGTGCTTCTAATTCTCAAAGATTATATAAATTGAGGATCCCTTTCCAAAATGCTTTGGAACAGAAGTATTTCATGTACTTGTATTTTTGCATACACAAATATGTATATTATGAATTATCTGGAAATAGGATCCAGGTCTAAGCATGAAATTCATTTATGTTTCATGCACACTTTATAACATAGCCTGAAGGCTATTTTATACACAACATTTTACATAATTTTGTACATGAAACTAAGTTTGCATATACTGAACTATCAGAAAGGAAAATAAGTCATTTCAGCCACTCATATGAACCATTTTGGAGTATTTCAGAATGTTGGATAAGGGAAGCTTTACCTGTAGCCAGAGGATCTAAGTTCCTTTTGTTCTCTTGGGTACAGTTAATTTGGCCCCAGATATCTACATTCATGTAGAGTAGCCATATATTTATGTAATACCTCTTTACCCATTCACTTAAGTACATTGTATGCCCTTAGCCTGTTTTTTGTTTTTTTTGAGGAGGAGATTAAGATAAAATAGGCGGTGAGCAATTTCATATATTTTTATTTCTTTCATATCAAAAGCATTGCATAAATAAGTTTAAAACTGATAAAAATAGAAGGAACACAAGCGGCTAAATACTCCATGACCAAAAATGAGCAACAGTGATTGCATTGTTTGTAGCTTTAAACAATTCTTCCTCTGTACATGAGGCAGGGCATTGTAGACAAGCATACAGATGTGGAGTTGTTTATTCTGCTCCACAGTTGCACAAAGTATACTTGTATACCGCTTTTTTTACTCTGGGAGTGTGGACTCAAAGTGGTTTCCAGCATATTTATGGCAAAATGTAATGCCTCACATACATATGAAACCTAACATAAAACAATAATGACATATAACTATCAATTAGATCATAAAAACATAACAACATTTGGACATTAAAACGTGGAGTTAAAAACATAATAATATAAATATTACAATCACATAATCCAAAAATCGTAGTCCAGGCCATTCCAAATATCAAATATCAATTGCACATAATCCCCTGATTATTCCTTGTATTGCTTACTGCCCAAAGGCTTGGTCCCATAGCCAAGTTTTTACTTTTTTCTGAAGGCCAGGAGGGAAGGCGCTGATCTAATTTCGTTGGGGAGCCAGGATCAGAGCATTCCTTAGATTACCTTTCAGTCTCCCCTGAAGATGCCACATGTTTATTTGCGATGTCACCCACAAAAAATGTCCACATTTTCTTTTACCTGTTCACTCACCTTCAGAGACCTAGAGCAGCTCTAGGCAATCAATGGCTTCTGGTTCCAACCCCAACAAAGTCAGTTTCTCAGAGTCATGGTAGTTCCTGAATTGGGACCATTGTGAATACAAAAGGAATATATGTCAATTAACTTAACTGGTGATCTTGAATATCCATTCTATTCCTTAATCATCTCATTTCATGAGCAATAACTATTGAGAAGGGAATCTGGGACACTGTTTATTAGATAATTATATAGGGCACTTATGTCACAGCTTTCATGAGCCTGTTTGAGTTTTAAAATATTCCAGGAAAGGCTTCCTCTCAGCCTCATCACAGATATTTTTAGTGTAGGCAAGGGAGGATTCGTTGGTCCCCTCTTTCCTTTCCCTTCTTCAATAGGCAAAGATCTATTATTTAGGCAGGTCTTGGCTTATAATCTATGTAGCAAATAGAGCTTTTAACAGACAGTGGTTTTAATTTGTTTTCATCTTTGTCTGGCACAACCTGGGGATCATAACCAGACACAGTGAAGACATCTGCCCTTGCACTTTGCTGCTAAGTATGCATGTCCAGTGAGGAACACATCTCACCATGCTAAAACAGTGGATGTGACTCTTAATGAGACAATGTGCATTATCACATGATGTCTGTGCCCTATACCACTGGAGAAATTGCACTGTTTAGCCGGTATTGCACCACCTAACATCTGCTGGGAAGTAGCAACCAATAATGAAAGGACCAAGGCAGTGACCCCTTCAGTCCATCCTATGTTTGGATATCAGCCAGCATTCCAACACATTCAATCAAGAAATCGTTTTCTAAGATCTACAGAGACACTTGCAGGAACACCTCAGCAAGCGAGAGTCCAAAAGTGGCAGGCAAAAAGCCAGAATCTCAATCTGTGGCTGATGCCAAATGAGAGAGCCTGGGCACACAGAAGACTGGATGACTTGGAAGGCACTGAACAGATTGTGTTCTGGCACCACAAGATGCAGAGCCAACCTTACAAAATGGGGCCACAAAGTGAAGTCCGTGACATTTGAGTGCAGTGAAGAGCAAACCACAGACTACCTATTACAATCCAGTCTGATCCCTGCCACTTGCACAGTGGAGGATCTCTTTATAGTATCACCAGAGACACTCCAAGTGGTCAAAGGTCATTTAATATAATGCTAAGATTTTAAACTTTGTGTTTTTTTAAATACATTACAACTGTACCCTTGGTTTGCTTCTGATAAGATAAATAAAAAAATAATCTTTTGTATGATCAAATTTTAAAATTGTACCATGCTTTTAAAATGGAAGCTGTTTTGTAAAAGAAGAAAGGCGAGATACCAAATAAATGGGTGAACGAGTTTTCTCTCAAGGCAGCTTACAAAGCAAACAGAACTCTATACAATAACATCTAGTAGAACAGTTCATAGACTTCTATAAATCCATCAAACAAGCTGGATTCATGATTGTTTTTAAAATTAAAGGGGAAGACAACAAACTCCTATGATTCCCAACTGACAGCAATACAGACATGAAGTGAACACTGTAAGTCCTGTAACTGGGATTTCATCAAGCCTTTTCTCTGGTCGCCTTCTGCTTTAAGTCTGAAGGGTGGGGTGCTCAGAGTTAGTCTTGCCTCAGAAGATGATCTCACTTGTCAGGCCTGTTCCCATGGGATAAAGTGAACTTTAGATACTGTGGTTCAAGCTTTTTAGTGCTTTAAAGATCAAAACTAGCACTGTGCTTCGAAACAAGTCCAAAACCAGTGAAGATCTTTCAGCTGTAGAGGAATATGTCTACAGCAATTGGTGTTAGTTAATTGTTTGGCTATTACAGCAGCTAAAACACAAATATACCCCTTGCAAGATCCCCATATAGAAAACAATTCCTGCAATTTTAGACAGGATTTTACCAGAACTTTAATAACTATTCCCAGGTTATCTCTGTGAATAGATGAATTTGTTATTACCTATAAGTGAGTATGGGTTCAATTTCCGGTTGTTACTCTGTTTCTCTGTTAAAGCATTATTTACTTTTTTTTTTTAAAGTTGAATATTTGTGGATAAGTTTCTTATATGTTACAAATGAAAATGTTTTCCATTTGCTTTCAAGTTAGTTGAAAGATTCATGGAAAGATACACTTGTTCAAGTTTTTTCAACATGACATTTAAAGCAATTTGTCTGCCAAGCATAATATTCAAATCCTGTTTAATTTTCCACAGAGTGCTCAGTTATTGTAATATTGCTGCTACTGTAGGAATACTTGAAATGACCCTGTAGTTGTAGTTACATTACTTGGGGATGTTGTAAGGCATTTAATCTTGGGAAAAGATAGTAAAGTTGTATCTTTTACAGGTAAGTGATTTTTCAGTGGCCATGTCAACATATGCAGCTATTTAAAAGGCATCTATTCATTATTCTATTCTCATGAGCAGTGTTTCTCAAACTGTGCTCCTCCAGGTGTTTCATCTGAGCTGAGCGGGCTAGTCTTAACTCCAAGGGATTTTGGCAAAATGATGCCATAACCTTTTGGAAAAATGTGAACCTCTATAACCATTTCTTCTAAAAACCTTCACAATCTCTAAGATCCTCTGGAGAGGCTCTCCTCTCAGTTCCGCATCCATCTCAAGTATGGCTGATGGGGATGAGAGAAAAGGCCTTTTTGGCTCTCACCCCTTGGCTTTGGAACTCCCTCCCCAGGGAGATCAGGCTAGCTCCCTCTCTGTTCACCTTCCGCAAAGAGTTAAAGACATGGATGTTCCATTGTGCTTTTGAGTAGATAATTCCTTAGATAGCTGGCTCCAGCTAGGACCCTAAATCTATCCTCTCACATTACCATTGTTCCTATATTTACTGCTGCCTTATGACCCATGCACTTTACCATTCGCCTTATCCTTTAAGTCATAGTTGCACCAGTCCACACACCCGTGTCAATAAACTGAATTTTGTTATTGGTTTTTGATTTTGATTCCTGTTTAATTCTGTTGTGTTGTTGTTTTACTTTGTTTTATATTGTTGTTATATATTTTAATGTGTCAGATTTTAACTGTCTTGATCAGGCTTGGCCCCATGTAAGCCGCCCCAAGTCCCTTCGGAGAGATGGAGGCAGGATACAAAAATAAAGTTATTATTATTAGTAGTAGTATTATAAATGAGATTCATAACTTTTTAGAAAAAATACACTGGTCAAAGAAAGATATGACCTTATTAGACATCACAATTTCTTGAAAAGTGATGTTCACTAGTATTTGTGCAAGGCAACTAGATCTCTCAGCTGTTAAACTGTTGTACCTAGGTATGTCTTTGAACTGCCAGGGACAAAGACATGCCAATGCACAAAAACATATATTCAGCAGAGTCTCAGAAGTGTTCTTTGAAGTTTCCCAAAAACATCTACTCTCCCTTAAAATA